CTCTGCATCACTGCTTTCCTCATTTGAACTGCTTCCAGTTCCATCTTCAGCCTCTCCTCCTTCTCCCAGATGATATCTAAGCCCTCGTTGATAGAGGCGCTGTCCGTACGAATCGTATCCAGGATTGGCGGCTGAGTTTTCAGTTGATGTGGGGGAAGGGGCATCCCAGGGGTCAACTCCTTCGTCTTCCCCTTCCTCCTCCTCGGTAATGGGAGAGAGAATACGCTGGTCCACCCCTTGTTCGTAGACTCCTCGCTCTTCTTCTTCTTCAATGACTGGGCCTCTTTGTGCGGGCCATCCTTCCATCTCGGAGTGGGACTCACTGGACTCGCTTGTGTCGGAGTCTTCTGTGATCCACTCGTCGTCTGTGATAAAGATGAAATGGATGATGGGTTCAGGTCGGTTGTCGATGTAGTTGGGAGGGGGTGTGTGCGGTCATCTATTTTCCTGGTTGGGGGTTTCGACGGGGATAGTTTCTTCGGAGACTGGCTCCTGGTTTCGTCGGTATTCGTATCCATATAGGAACGCAAGATAGGCTATGGTAATAAAGCCTTGTAGTCCGAAAAGGTCGGTGAGGTATTGTTCGATGGGGTTCATTCGTTACTGTTCGTCAACGTGGTTGTTGATGAAGAGTAAGAAAGTCTCGAACTAATTGTTAGTGACCGATTTCACAAACAAGATCAAACAACTAAGCGTGACTCGCACTTCGGTCAGGCGCTTTATGTTGTCCGCAGGTTTGCGTTATGGGAGCTATCGCTTAGTTGAGCGAGAGTGAGTTCAGACTAAGTTATCGGGTGAATAAACTTTAGTTCGAGACTGAGGTTTAAGACCTGCAGTCGAGCTACTTAAATACAGTTTGGGTCGTGCTAAATATACTACAACTGTCTGCAACGGTGCGATAAACACACTATACCCTCATGGTAGGATGCGATCAGGTCCGGACGTTTAGCATATCAGGATTACGAGGGAGCCGATAAGATAAGATAGAGCGCGAAATCATAATAATGGGGTAGTTTTGTTGCGCGGAGTTCAGCTTTGCAGAGAAAAACGCTGCTACCTTCGCATTCTTCCAGTCATTGCCCTGGCTAACTATGCCAGCAATCCTGGTACTACTAGCATCAGTTACGACGTTTATCGTCGGTGCATCCTTGGAGTAATCGAGGGGAACCCAGTGGTTCTCTCACCATCGATGTACATAATCCTTTACTTGTTCGAAGGCTCGCTGATGTGTCTCAGTCTAATTCCAAGGTACCGTGGCTCCAGTCAAGGTGTGCAGTACTCCCATGGGTACCCGGACACGGTCTACGTTGTCAGCGAGATATCCTACTGACCCAAGAAATCCACTCAGCAGCTCGTGGTTCATCGGCACCTTCCAATTTAGTACAGTGTCGACTTTCGAAGGATCCATCTTGATTCCTTTGTTGTTTACGATATGCCCCAAGATATGCAATTCTCGTGCCAGGATTTGGCACTTCTTCTCACTAAGGTAAAGTCGTTGCTCTTCGAGGATGTCGAATATAAGCTCACAGTGTCTTGCGTGCTCTTCAATAGTATCTGAATATACAATAATATCATCCAAGTAAATGTCCATGAAGACACCGATATACGGTGAAAATAGGTGATTCATCAAGGCTTGACAGGTGGCCGGTGCATTGCAATTGCCTTGCTGCATTACAAGACTTATCATATTTCCATCAGGCGTAGTCACGGCTGTACGGTCAAGGTGCTCCATGATTATGCGAATCTGTTCATACGCTGCTTGTAAATCAAACAAGGACCAATAACGCCTGCCTGCCACTCGTCAGAGGATCCCATCAATAGAGGCTAGCGGCGCTACCATTTTACGCGTGTTAGCATTTCGCTCACGCAAATCAAAAACAGTGCGTAATTCCGGCATATTCTTGGGCTTATTGGGCTTAAAGATACATAACATAGGGACCGTATTACGAGCTGTGGTCACCTTCCAACGACCTGTAGCCAGATAATCTCTCTTCTTCTCAATCCATTGTCCAAGCAAGGGTTCAGGGCATTTGGATGGCCGCCAGTGGTAGGTTTTATTTTCATCAATCAGAGGGATTTCATGATTAATAGGTCTGAATGGGGGTAACGGAGCTTTTGCTGCGTCGTCAAACAATCCTCGGGCCTGAGCAGATTCCCGGATAATGTTCCGGACGTCAGAGATAGCCTCTTCTGCCAGTTCGATTGAACGAGATGCTAGCTCACTAACATTGGAGCCTTCGATAGGTAGGCTTCCCTCACTTCCGATATGGATTATGTTCTCATTCATCCCCATAGTTACCTTATGCTGAAATAGGAACGGCGTCCCAAGTATTACATCGTAACTTCCAAGATTCGCAATATCGAAATATCTTTGTTCATCAATACCTTGATATTGAAATCTAGGCTTTGTACCATAATTAATCTTCGAACGTGAACCTTGCACTGCAAGGTGCAGTGAGATGGGCTTCTCAAGTTCAATTTTCTTCAAGTTTAATTGGTCTGCCAACGTCGTCGACATGAAATCAGACAATGATCCTGAGTCAAGCAATGCTTGAGCTTTATGACCTTCAATAAAAACGTCTACTATCATTGGCTTTGGGACTAGTCGAGTAAAGTTGCGAGGGACGCCTGCATTACGTTGGATAGCAGTAAGCTTATCTCGCTTATAGCCTACATGTCCAAGGTATAAGCCGGCTAGTCTCCTGCGGGTTTTACGTGTTACGGAATCTCCTACATTCTCGCCCTCCAGGCCAGCGAGACCAACTTTCCAACCAGACCAACAGCAGGTACGTAGTTGTGTCTTCTCCCAGCGTTGAACTCATGCCAACCACCAGTTGTACAGCCGGAACTTCGGGTGTAAGGCCATCACACGAGGCAGACGAAACTCGTGCCCAAGAACACGATCCTTTACGCGGAAAACGTTTGGGGATTTGTACGAAACTGTAAATCTTTTTGCTAGACCATCGAACTCGTCGTTAAACCCATTGTCCAGGTATTCCTCAATGAACATGGCCATTAGATCCTTCCCCAAGGGAGGAGGTAGTTCAACCGATGGGATACAGTACATCTGAATGAGGTATGACCTGTACCAAGAAACCATGTCACCGTACTGAACCACATTCCCAGGTACCAGTACTTCGTCCTGCTCATCTCGTAGGGAGTCGAACAAGACAAAATTTACGCCTTTTGTATGGTACATGCTGAACCGTGGATTCCCGCCCTCCATGCCTCCGTGACCACCTAATGCAAGTGTATCTGGCCAGTTGGTCTCGGCATTCATATGCCAAGTCCACCACTCATCTAGCATGTCGCCCATGGGCTGGTCAAGCCACAACTCAGCATCCGTAGGAGTCCACAAATGACTAGATATGTCGTCCACACCATCGTCATTAAGCTCCAAACCAATACTGTTGAGTTCGAAGCTAGTGGATCTATCCGCGGCCTTAGACAAGCGATCCGCTTCCTTCAACTTGAACTGGATATTCGAGGAGGACATCATGGGAGGCTTCCTTCGACCAGGAGGACCAGAATGCGAGCCAGAGGCTACAGCGTTACCCTCAGGGCACTGTCGTGAGGTGTGTCCGACCTTTCCACAACAGAAACACCTCCCTTCAGCCAGGTATTCATCACGTTGCTTCTTATCCAACTTGTGCTCATGCCAGGGGGACTTTTTATCCACGACAGGCTTTTCCCAATTACGAACAGGCCCTTTACGTGGAATGCCTGACAATTCACGTAGTTCGTCATTGAAGCTTTGACGTGCAGGTTTGGGAGTATGATCCTGCTTCGAGCGAGGTATGTCGTTCCATTTATTCCACTCTGTCATCTCATTGGTGCGACGGTTCTTGGCACGGCAGTTATGTTCATAGTCCCCACAAGACTTCCCTTCATCTCTACGCTGAGTGATGTCAAGGATTTCGGCCATATCAACAATCTCGTGCCACGTATTGATTTCCTCATCGTAGAAACGACGACTCAGCTCCTCCCGGAGATCGCGCCGTAACCCATACCACAAGCAGAGCACTTGAGTACGTTCTGACTCATCTCCGAGCATATGGTAGTGTCCCTTCAGCTCATGAGCATACGCGTGTACATCACGATCACCCTGGAAGCACTGCCTGATTCTTCGACGAACCTTAGCCCAGAAATCCCGAGGGAAGCAGTAATTAAACATCTCCCAGAAGAAGGTAGTTAAATCCCATTCGTTGTAATTCATACTAACGCTTTGGTCATAGAAATCATGGGCCTTGCCCTCAAGGTAACGAGAAATCTGAAAAACCTTGTCCTCGTCTTTAACGTTTCCCATCTTCAGATACTGATCACATTCCTGAATAAAACGTGCAACTAACTTCGGGTCATCACTACCATTGTACGTACATGGCAGGATTGGCTTCTCCCATCGGTCACGAGAATGAGAATGGGAACGGCATGATGATTTCTTCTTCTTGTGATGCTTCTTCTTATGGCACTCATTCCCAGAGCTAGACTCATCATCCGAGGAAGAGGATGAAGAAGAAGAAGAATCATCAGGCTCATCGGCAGGTGTGTTAACCGGTTCTGCACTGCCAACAGACTTTTTCAAAGCTCTCCCCAGGTAACTATTCGGAGCAACTTGATCTGCTGCGAAGGCTGGTCCACACCGAACGTTGGGTGTTTCCTGATGCTTGCTGCCTCACATGGCATTCTGTGCAACACCAATCATATGCCACATATCAATGTGGGGGTTACCTATCACATTGTTAGAACCTGATAGTGGGGACCGTCCCCGCAAACCACCAAGACTACTAGCCTTCAGGATTGAAGGGCTCGATGACTTGGAATGCACTTTTTGGTTGCCCAAAGTTGCATCGAACATCTCTTTGGTCTTGACATCCTCCGCGATCCTAACCTTCTTTACAGGCTTCGAGATCGGGGTGCTGGTAATCGGTGGGGTAAAGTTCACGGCCTCTCCATCGCCCGAAACCTCACCCTTCATTACAGGGGTGGAGGTATGGAATACTTCAGGTTCCACATTGGAAGAACCACCAATCTGGCTGTCAGGTTTGGCAGAAGAACACTTGCGTGCCTTCCATGATCTCATGACATCTTCATAGATCGCCTTTTGCACTTCAGGATCCTCGTCCTTCAAGAAATCGAAGTTCTCCCAAGCACAGCGCTGATTCTCAGGATCCAATTCCTCATTGTCAATCCCTGGAATTCCAGTGTCACGAAAATCACGAACCTTTCCTTTGTTGATAAAAGGCTTTTCAGCAGGTATTTCATTTCCTGCCTCATGTTCGGTATCTGACTCTGAGTTCGACACATTTTCAGCTTGCATAGCTCCAGCCTGAGGTTCGAGTTGAGCTGCCTCTGCCGCAGCCTCTTGTTCCCTTCGGACTTGACTCGGAATATTGAGAAATTGCTTTTCAAAATGCTTCTGGCGTACGTCATGTACAAATTTAACGGTATTCTCAATAGCGACCTTATTTTCATCAACATCTGAATCAGATAAAATTTCATATCTATTTTTCGTGCTAGCAGTAAACCTGGTGGTTTTCAAACCGGGGTCCGGGGAAGGGGTACGTCTACCCTTCTTCTTCCCCACAGTCTCCCATCCCATAACTTCGCTAGGGTGGAGAACGACAGAATTGTCATCGAGATCCAGAAGATCTACGTCCAACGCGGTTTGAAAACCCGTGGAATTCGGCTCATTCGCAGTAACGCGACCGCCATACTGGCTAGGAAGGTTGAAGTCCTCGGATGCGACAGACTCCTCCTTCACAGGCCAAGAGGATAATCCCTTCTCGTCTATGGAGACAGGGCCCGAGCTTCTCGCGCTGGTGTCAGGCACGAGGCTCGCAATGCTAGTAAGGGGGCTTTCCATGTCCCCCAAAAGGTCAGCATTATTTTTAGATTGAATAGACGGCAACTCAGCAGAAACGGCAGGTGCCTTTTTATTGCCCTGAAGCGGGAGCCCCTGAGCAAACGGAGCAACCCCTTTCGAATGGGTAAACGGTGCCATAGATGCACAAGCGAGAAGAAAAAATTGAAGCGAGTTTAGAGAGGTAGAAGAAGCAAGAGGTTCGGAATTTTGGAGTGGCGAGGCGAAGTCGTGCGGAGATCCGGGTGATCAAGCCAGAGGGTTCCAATCGACGAGGCCTTGCCGGTAAGGCTTTTTTTTTGTTTTTCAAAGTCGAGGTTTGTTGAATTCGAGGTTCTTGTAGGTCAAAAATATGTGATGGTACTGTGACAGGAAGTCGGCAGTAACGGCACACGAGAGTTAGACGAAGCAGAGAGTAGTCGAACGGAGGAAAGACCAGGTGAAAAGGACCTCTATTCGAGTAGTTCTAAGGAGTACGTAGGAGTATTTTAGGTCTTATATACGAGTAGGATAGGGTCTAATCTATAAAGAGAACATGGCTAAAGTAAAAGGAAAGGCGGGATAAGTAATAGAGATGTGGGATCACTGCAGTAAAGTAAAAGAGTAGAATAGTAAGTAGGTAATGGTAAAGATAAGATAGGGATAAAGAGAACGAGAGTACCGGCACAACGTGCCAGCACGAATCTCCTACACCCAACAATGCACAGAACCTTATGTTGATAATAGTAGCCACTTATTAGCAATGAATATACACCATCTGGTATTGCTTGTTGATGGCGAGCAGAAATTTCGCATCGATGCTCCTCTCCATCCAACCTGTGGACAATCAAGTCCCCTTTGCGGGGCATTGCTGTCGACATGGCCAATCCTTCAACATGCACCGAGTCAATGTGCCAGCCATCATATGAATAGATACCTGCCTCTGCATCATATTCAACAAAGGGCAGAAAAAGTTGAATTGGGGAGCACTCCTTCCAGTTCATAGCCTGCTCCCATGATGGTCTCCATACATGGGGTTCAGACCCGGGCTCAGGATACTGAGAGAGCATCTCTGAACGATAACTCTCCCACATCACCTTCACCAGGCCTGTCCAAGCATCTTCAGCAGACTCCTGCTCAGAGTATGCTGGTATGTGTCCAGAGGTTGGATCACCCGTTCTGATGGAAGTAGATGTGGGTTCAATCATTGTGAAACCACCAGGCTGTGAGCAAATCACAGATGTTGAGGGTCGTGTGTCATTGTGCACTGGCATGGTGGAACATGGCAAAAAGTATGCCAGTGCTGCAACTTTATCTACATCCTTCTCGGCTGCACGATCCCGCACCAGCGATAGACAGTCAAACACATCTGTGGACTGACTCAGAGCCTTTTGCAAGGATGACAGTTGCAACTTGAATCTTCCCTGTACTTCCCTATTCACTTTCTCATTGCCTGTATCCCCACCTATCATCCAATTGTCACTTGTCTCCTGTAATGTCCATGTACGTTTGAACCAACTCCGATCGCTATCGAAATGGCCCTCACCGAAACTCCCATCATGCTGCAGGGGCAGTCCAAGCCCGGTGAAGTAGCAAACCACCTTTCCCAAGGTGTATACATTTCCAATAGTGGGCACATCTAACCTCCACTCCTCCACATGCAGATCCTCCAAGTGCCTTAGCCTCCCTTTCTGCCTCAAACAGAGGACGTCCAGCCATGCATACTCTGCTCCGAGATTCAGCATTTCGATACGGATGCGATTGAGATCGGCATCTTTTGGGATGGGCACAGGCCATTGATGTCCATTGATGGGAGTGTTCACATTTTTGCGAAGGCTCTCTTCCATCCAGGCATGTGAGATTCCCCATGGTGCATGCAAGGCAACCCACCATGGCACCACCCGATTGCTGAAGAGATCCCAGACACGGCCTAGGCGCCATGCGTAGCCCCTCCGAAGTAATCTGGCCATCAACCAGTGCTTCTTCTCGTATCTTTAAGTCCATCGCTTCACAGGTGCACAGTGATTCTTGGATGACGTTCAAGTCGCAGTCATACCATATGGGGCGGAGATAACCATATGCGGTGCCAAAGTCATATTCGTTCGAGATATATGCTTCGAGAAGGGACGAGAGAGAAGGGGTGAGGTTGAAGCTGGTGCCAAGTGTGCTGTTCAGTGTTTCCAACAGTCCCTTAACACCCAGCTCAGCACAGGGGGCATCAGCGAGGGAGGACTCTATGACAGGCTTTCTACCCTTATATTCTCGTTGACTGGGGACTTTGATATCTTGGATCGACAAGCCGTCTTCAATGGGAGCGGTGATGGTGACATCAAAGTCTCGTAGATACATCTTAGCGATACTGTTATTCAGTGTATTTCTATTGACTTTTCCAGCTGCGCACCTTCTGGTCTTTGCGTGAAGGATTTGTATAGCCTTTATCTCGAATGCACCATTGTCGCCAGCTCAAAACCACTGGCCATTCTAGTCAGAATGAAGACTTAAGGTGGAAGGAAAGTGATGGCACATACAGGAGCTCATTATTCTGTCGTAAATGAAGTGTTACTAGTTAGATGTTCAAGGAGAAGCTCAGGAGGATGTCGCTGCAGCCTGCAACAAGGTCCCACCTTGCTTTGGCTCAGTGCGTGTTTTATTTGGCTTCCTGGCTTCCTTCATCAAGCGCCCTTGGGTCACAAATACTCCGTTGACATCGGGAGTAATTGAATTGATAATGTTGCTGTGTTGCATCACTCTCACAGCATTTAAATGGGGCTCGTAGAATCAGAAACAAGATTGACGCTAAGTTACACGACGATATGACATAGTCAGAGAGAAGGATGGCTTGAATGTATCTCATACATATGATACATATTACCTTTCAGGTCTAATGGTTTGAAGAATAGTCTTGTGCTGATTGCTTTCAAAAGGACGATATTGAACGATAGCGTGAATATTATAGCCAAGATGCGATGTTCGCCCTTTTCCACCTTTTCTCTGTGACACGGAATGGGGCTGGGAGCCAAACAACGCTCTGCCCAAGTACCATATACGCCAACGCCTTTCCACTCATCCAAGCGTTGCACCGTTCCCTCCCTGGAATATCCCGCTGCAATGCACTCACTCCCTCCCGGACTGCCCGACACTTTAAGGGAACACTACCCACCCAAGGTAATCCATCCGCGGAGATACCCAGAATACCCGACCACGCCTTTTTCACGCGTCCCTTCTCAAAATGTTCATCATCATCATCCACATCAGCCGACTCGCCACCCCACCATTTCCCAAAATATGCTGCCAGTGCCCCGCCGAGGTAAGCCGAGGTTCGGAACTCGACTTGACTGTCATCAGCACACCCAACAGCCTCAAAGAAGGACGGCATGGCCCAACTCAATACCACCTCCAAACAATGAACTCTGCGCACGGTTTCTCACTGAGTTGCGCAGGATCAGGTCAGCTGTTAGTGAGGCCAGTCCCATCGATCTTCTGGCGCGATGAGTACAGGCATGTACCGCACACAACCACACACTCATCAGACTCCTGTCCGTGCCTGTGTTGTCATAATCCCACGATGGGAGCGATATTTCTCTTGGCGCACGCATAGGAGATGGATGTCCATCCATTCGCAGCATACAAGCTGTTTTGCACATATATCACCACGGGCTGTGTGAAGATGTTGTAGCAATGGAGAGACAGATGAGGATGGATTGCTTGAGGAGTACTGAGAGGATTCCGTAACGAGCCGATATGGATTGGACGTATAGCCTTCCCCAGTTGTCGAGATGACCCCGTGCACTCCATCTGCGAGCTGCATCCCCGCTGAGCCCTCCATCGTCCCCCAGCTACTCTTCTTACTCGGTATTTCCTCCAAATAGCGCTCCAACTTCTCCTTTGCTCCTTCGAACGCCTCTTGGTCGAAGAACATGTCATATGTTTCCACCTTTCGACACTGGCTCTCTTCCGTCCATGCCCTCCTCCTCTGCGACGCCAATCAGCACATCCAAATGCGACAGCCTGAACCGTATAATTTGCTTCGCGGCCTCTGCTCCGTGTTTCTCCTTCAGTTCCAAGTAGTCATGGTACAGCAGGGGCGTGATGTGTCCTCCATTCCACGCTGTAGCACCAGAGCACGCGTCCCTTGCCTCCAACATCATAACATCCAGCGACTCATCCGTGTCGAGCAGCGTACATGCAAACGCCGTACCTGTTATCCCAGACCCGGTGATCACTACATCCGCACTTGCTGGCAGAGCCGCTGATGAACCTTCTTTCTGGATGGGCGATGCTGGGATAGACCAGAACGGTGTGATGGGATTGGATACTGGAAGTCCAGGAGACTGTTTTATCTGTTTGGTGACGCGCCTGTATGAAGAGACCATCTCTCGTATCGTGTCGATAGCTACCTGGAGAAGCAAGAAATTTGATACCATCTTGGAGTGTACGTTAGAGAGAAGGTCGACTATAGATGAATAAAACCTACCTAAGCCTGATTTTTACTGGGAGAGTAGGTTTCCGCGCCCACATCAGGCCTCAAGTATGGCTTGCCGATGGTCATAGTCAGGATCAGGAGCATCCGGCCCGTCGGATAAGCGTGAAAATCTCGTTCCAAATTTAGTCATCTCATCTCATCATTACACAGCACTTTATCAATACCTACCAACACCAACACCAACACCTAACCAGGAATAATCCCAACGTCCCACAAGCGGTGGCGGAGCAGCGCAAACAAAGGCCAATCCATCTTCGACCTACCTCTCGAATCATTCACAAAGTCGCTTTCAAAATGCATCCGCATACCCATTACGACTAGGACGGTCTCTTCTCGTGATTCGTTCATTATAATTCTCCGCAGATCAAATAATCTACACGTTAATCGAAGACATTTAAATTTTGGCAGCTACACTAGTCGCTCGTTAGACAATTCTCCTCGCACCAGGCACTGCGCCGTGCAGCCATGTCTTCAAGTAGGCCTGCGTCCTCAAGGCCTCACAGTGCAGTACCACCGCTTCTTCACTGTAAGAAGCCACCGAGAGTTTCCTCTCTGTGTCAAAACATCGTCATTTCCAAGTTCCTCCCCACCTCCGCCCCACTAAACTTCAGCGCTCTTCAACCCACGTACCCTCTTCCAATCCTCCCCTCCGCTCCTCTGCAGCCCACATACATAGCGTCATCAACTCTGCGTGCAGCGTGCTATTACCTCCAGTTCGCATTCCTCTTCGCAGATCACACCGCCACTTTAGGCTCAATCCGTCGCGTCATACGTAAAGACCGTCCGCGTTGATGTACAGAGAGGTGCTTGGTCAGGATGTTGATCTCCGGGTCTATCACTCACCTCTCGACTTCAACATGAATCCTGCGTGAGCATGCCATATCAAGGCCGTTCATATGCAACGTTTCGCATACTTCCCTCCCACCCTCTGTTCCGCTTCCGCTTCTTAGCAGCCACCTATGTAGCCATTCCTCACACCGACGCTTTCCTCATATGTGGTATGTCGGGAAGAAGGACCGTGACCATCCGCGCTGTACAGAGACTTCGGGTCAGCCTCTCAACATCAACACGAGCCCTGTCAGCCTCGCTTTACTATCCCAAAACCACAGTTCTTCCGCAAAACATATGCATTACCTGTTCGTTGTGCTGCTTTTCTCATTTCTGAGCGCCGGTTCATCAAAGGAGTCCTATATTGCGAGCAGACTATGAAAACTACAAGTCATTCAAATTACGCGCGGTGACTATCCCAAGGTGCACAAGTCTGAAGACGAACCAGTCCTTGCCACCACAACATCTCTCTCCACACAAGCCTTATCTCCTCCACGCCACATGTGCACGGATTCGAGGAACCGTGGGGAGTATGTGTGGGTATCAGACTTGCGCCCAACGTCGATTCCCAGAAGCAGAACCTTGATGGTAGGAACTAAGTCCTCTCCCAAGCTGTTTAGAGCTTGACCTACTTTTACTTGGCTGGTTGTCGTTGTCCTCTGAACAAGGACATCGTGACGAATTCTAGAGTAGGACATTGCTGGCAGGGCATGAATCAGAGTCGGCTCACCTAGGATTTCGGCGTGTCAAACAATCCAACCTCATCTCGCTGGGAAACACGGGTGAGCGCATGCCGTCTTGTATTTACAAAATACCTGCTTGTGTAGTATTCACAGCTAGATGTCCTCCTTCACGGGGAACAGTCTGCATCTCATTCCTTGGGATGTACTAGTTCATGAATGGAAAACCTCTCCTTTGCGCCTTCTTTGGACACCCAACTTTTTGTAATTCGCCAGCGTTGTGTTCAACTTCATCCTTACCTGGACCTCGACACTTCATCTTGTTCGTTCGTCTCAGCATTCCGATGTGGTAGTAGGTTATCCCGCCATTCGACTCGACTCTGCTCTTATCCCTGTTTTCTCAAGAAGTCATCTCCACCGCCTGTCAATATCTCGCTGAACATGATTTCTGTTCTCCCTGTAGTGGATTCCTAAGCAATGGATAGGCGTGCGCCGCCGATAACTCGTAGTTTACAGAGAATTGCTTGCAATATATTTCAGTTCTCGTTTATTCTACCTGGATGAATCGCAAAGTGAACCTTTCCGCACTCGATGCTTTTTTTTTTTTTTCGTGGGCCGCAATACCTTCTAAGATCTCAACTACACATAATGGACTCAACTTTCAGGGGAGAGGAGGACTCAGGACCGTCCACGTTGACTAGATGGGCAGATCGGAGATTTTGATTGAGGTCCTGGGATCACATGTATGTTAGCCTCCTTCAAGCCAGATCTCAACATGAACTTCGTCATTTCCGGATCCCGCACAACCCACGCCATATTGTTTAGTAGCTGGTAGCCAAGCCAACGCTGTTGGATTCACTTTTAGCTCATCGCATGGATTTATACTCAAAACCAGACGTCGGCTGGTCCTTCTGCAAATTCAAGCCCACATCGTGTTCCTCGGTACTTTGGGCTTAGCAAACAGCATTTGAGACTTTTTCATGCTGTTGGGATACTCATAAAATTGATTGATTGAGCAGCAATATGAATAATGATACTGATCAGTGACCCGAGGCATTCAATGGATAATACAAGTCAAAAGCAGTCGTATTTGGACCTGAAAAATGCTCACAATTGAAAGGTATGTCTAGAAGGTACACAGATAAATTGTACATCTGCCCCGAGATCGTAAGCATGTGGATGAAAAACAATGATAGCGAGAACATACAAAAAATTGTAAGTGATAATGAGAGTGACATGTTGCTCCAATTCTAATGTACTTCTTCCGTCTTTGAGTAGGAAGGAACTCTGGATACAAAAGACGTCAGCTGTTATCAGAAAAGAATGAATTAAATAATACCTGCTAGTACACAGCGATTGTTAATAAGAATTTGACGTCGAGTGCACAGATGACATATACTCGGACCTCTCTAAATGCTCATTTTGGAGGCCCAAGTACGTCATAATTGTTCGTCTAAGGATGAAAAAGCATGTCTTCACAGAGGAGCATGGTTCATTGATGGACCTAGGCACATACAGTTTGAGCAGAGTGGTAGCATATGCATGTTTGAACTCACCTTCACCGACTAATCCACTGCTACTATCACCATTTTTCGTACAGAGGTCGCCAGACAACGTGTCTCGTAAACGCGTTTGGCTTGCAGAACCCGAAGCTGCAAACTAGATGCGTTCCTCAACGGCGTGTCGACAATATTGATATATGCCGTCGTCATGAGGAGGAAGCAGCAGTGGGCGAGTCCGAACGTCTCAACGCGTTATAGAGGACGGAATTCGGAAGCAAAGAAGAAGTTTGGCTCGTTCATGCCATCATGCCATGCGTGCCCTTTCCCCGACTCGCGAGCTGAACATTGACTCTAGAGTGGAATATAAGCATTGTCATGCACATGAAATAAAACGCAAAAAAAAAAAACACACCTCATTCACGTACGCATCCACATCAAACGCATCAAGCATCAAACACGATGAAAGTATATAACGCAAACGCACGAACAAGTCAGATAAACGCGAAGTTATCCGTGCCCAGGACAAGGGTTTGACAACCGCATCTTGACCATGGAAATTGAGGAAGCAGAAACCATTTCAACGTGCAGCAAAAGGGTGCAGGATCAGATCCACACCCAACAAACGATTTTTTTTTTCAACACCTGAGGGGGGAGAATCGAAGGACAGCTCCCGCATCTCGAGGATAATCGATAACCTCTCGGCGGCTATCTTCTCTCGTATCCCAGCGTTTGAAGATAACATGAAAAGGGAGCACCCTGGATGAATTGATAGCAGCATAAGGGGAGTGAAGGATGAGCAAGGGGAATCGTTCGTTGTTCTGGGTGGTTGGGGTTGGAGGCGAGGATAGAGGAAACTTGGTACATTCGAACAGTGAATAATGAGGACTATGCATATGAGCGAGAGTGACTTCCGGTGTACTGATGTAACAAAACGCGCCTATGGGTTAAAAAAAGACGCGGATCTATTCCGGCGAGTAGCAGAAGGGAGCGATGCGTTTTTGGAGCATAGTATAGGGTAGGACTTGGCTCAGATGATACACCTGTGACGCGAGTGCCTCTCTACAGTCCTCGTTTCCAATCACAGGTAGGGAATTGAGTGACACGACTAGGAAGTCTCACGTGCCCTGATAATTCATCTCTGGCATCCGCGCCCCCTCTCTCCTCGAATACGTGACTACATATGAACGGCATAGAGGACAGGCGGAAGACGGGGAAGGGGAAGATGCTTGTGTGGAGAGAACCAGGATCTTGAGGGGGGAAATGGACTATGCGAGTCCGTGCATTCGATCTTGATAGCCTGGGAAGCTGAAGGGAGGATTGGATACAGTGCTGTATGTTGAATCTAGCTCTGGGATGGCAAGTAGGGGGTTGTCGACTCGACCTGCACGCTACATCGTCAATATCAGTATACGCATTTTAGTATTCGTGCGCACTGGCTACGTAGGTCACAGAAAGATCAAGGCGTTCGATCCATTCCCCAATCGTGCTCCTTCCTCCGTTCAGGATTCGCTCGCCACGAAGAGATTCATTCCTTCCTAAGATTGACTCCCTCTTGTGACTTTGATCTAAGAAGGACGCGTCGAGGAGAAGGATGTGAAGATGGACGGAACATGCAATCCACTTGTTTGGATGGGTACTACTGCATGACACGTTGAATATCTCGGTAGGCATACCAACGTCGTGAATTCCAGGAGGCTGAGATTTGTAGACGAAGGAAACAGAGAATGAGAAGCAGAGTTGTGATGGTAAGAGAGAAGGATTATTCGGATATTTCCGATATGTAATCTTTCGTATATCCACAAGCTGAACATACATATGATTATTACAGCCACAACGCGTAGTTTTTTGTACATCTACAAGATGGATTGTTACAGCCAAGACGCGATATTTGCTTTCTTCCACCTTTTCTCTGTAACGCGAAACAGGTCAGGGAGCCAATCAACATCTTTCCCAAGCACCATGTACGCCAACGCCTTTCCACTCATCCACGCGTGAACCATTCCCTCCCCGGAATACCCTGCCGCAATCCACTCTCTCCCTCCTGACCTGCCCGACACCTTCGAGGGGATACTACCTACCCAAGGCAGTCCATCCGCAGATATACCCAGAATACCCGACCACGCCTTCTTCACGCGTCCTTTCTCAAAATGCTCATCGTCGTCAAAATCAGCCGACTCGCCTCCCCACCATTTCCCAAAATACGCTGCCAGTGCCCCACCAAGGTAAGCCGAAGTTCGAAACTCGACTTGACTGTCGTCAGAGCACCCGACAGCTTCAAAGAAGGACGGCGTGCCCAACTCGATACCACCTCCAAACATGAACTCTGCATGTGGTTTCTCGCCGAGTCTCGCAGGATCAGGCGGCTGTTGGGTGAGGTAGTCCCATCGATCTTCTGACGCGCCTGGGTATAGCACAAACGACCGGGTACCATGCCATCCGTTGTCCAAGCCTGTTCCTGCGCGTTGTGCAGTCATATGCCCTCGCACAGGAACGATCTTTTCTCGCATCGGTGCGAGGAGATGGGATGTCCAGCCATTCGTAGCATGCACGATGTGTTTGGCGCGAATATCACCACGGGATGTGTGAACAATGTTGTCGGCGATGGAGAAACATGGTGTATGGGTGTACAGCCGGAAGGACGAGTATGTCTTGAGCAGCCTTGAGAGGATTCCCGTGACGAGCCGATACGGATGCACCGCCCCTCCCGTCGTTGAGATGACCCCGCGCACTCCATCTGCAAGCTGCATCCCTGCCGACCCTTCCATTGTACCCCAGCCACCTTTCTCATCTGGCATTTCCTCCAAATAACGCCCCAACTTCTCCTTTGCATCCTCAAACACCTCTTGGTCGAAAAACACATCATATGTTTCCACCTTGCGACACTGACTCTCTTCCATGAGACCCTCCTCCTCTGCGACGCTAATCAGCTCATCCAGATGCGACAGCCTAAATTGAATGATTTGCTTCGTCGCCTCTGCCCCGTACTTCTCCTTCAAATCCAGATAATCATGGTACAGTGGTGGCGTGATATGTCCTCCATTCCGCGCTGTAGCACCAGAACACGCATCCCTCGCCTCCAGCATCACTACTTCCAACGACCCATCCGCATCAAGCAGCGTACGCGCGAACGCTGTGCCTGTTATCCCAGACCCGATAATCACTACATCTGCACTTGCAGGCAGAGCCGCTGATGAGCCTTCTTTTTGGATAGGCGACGCTGGGATAGACCAGAACGGTGTGGTGGGATTCGATACTGGGAGCCCGGGAGACTGCCTTATCCTCTTCGTGACACGCCGGTATGAAGACACGATCTCTCGTATAGTGTCGATAGCCACTCGGAGGAGTGAGAATAACGATACCATCTTGGAGTAGATGTTAGGGAGAAGGCTGATAGATGAATAACATCTATCTAGGCCTGATCTTCACTGGAAAAGTAGGTTCCCGCGCCCACATCAGGCCACAAGTACGGCTTGCCGATGATCATCGTCAGAATCAGGAGCATCCGGTCCGTCGGATAAGCGTAAAATTTTCATTCCAAATTTAGTCATCACCATCTAGCCAGCTATAATCTAACACCACTCCATATTCGACCTAGTACCTCTCAAAATTGGAATCAGTCCTACATTTCAATCTTCCGAACGGCGAGGCTAGCGCCTTCTCTCGGTTCGTCCGCGGATCAAATACTCTACACGTTAATCGAAGCCACTCGAATTCGGCAGTTACGCTAGTTGCTCGTCGGACGATTCTCTTGCAGTCATGCATTCAACTAGTAGGCCGTCCCCGCACACTCCAGCACCCTACGACTGCATGTGCGCAGTACGCGTCTTCACTAGCACTGACGAGAGTTCCCTCCCCCCATCAAAACGTCGTCACTCCTACTCCCCTCCCCTTCAACGTTTTACATACTTCCTTCCCACCTCCGATCTGCTCCCTCTTCTTTGCCTAGCATCGTCAACTCCACGTGCAGCATCGCGGTCCTATCTCCTACAATCCCCATTCAAGAAAGACCGTCCGCGCTGCCACTGATGTACAAAACCTCTCAGCATCAACAAGAACCCTACTAGCCTTCCCTAAAACAACGGTCCTCTCGCAAATCACATCGCTTTCCGAGCGCCAGTTACGAGAGCTACAAGCCACCGTCCCGAGATGCAACGTGCAGGTCTAAATCTACTTGTCCTTCCCGCCACATCACACAAGCCTTATCTCCTCAGCGCATGTATATGTGGGGAGGACTCAGAGTCATATATGCACGTGCAGCACCAGAAATCAGACTACGCCGCATCTCCAACAGGCCTCCAGAGACTGAAACCTTGACGGAGAACTACTCCCTTTCTACTTGGCTGGTTTCCGAGTCGGAACGACTAATTCTGGAGTAGAGTAGGTACATTGCAAGCAGAGCGTGAACCCAGAGTCGGCTTACCCAGGATTTCATTTCCGACGCACCAAAACAACCCAGCCCCGGTCCCCAAGTGAGTGCGTGCCCATCGCGTAGCTGTATTTATACTCAAAACCAGACGTTAGCTGGTTCCCCTCCCACAAGCCATTACCTCTGTAGCTCGTTTCGAGGGTGTTCTTATTCCAAGGCAAGTTGTGAGCCAGGCAGTGGCGGATCCTCTCTGTCCATTGCTTTAAGTTTGCTTATTCTGTTATCACCTCTCCTCTGCCCTGAAGAAAACTATACGATCTATTACTTAGTCCATGAACCGTTTTTCGTCCGTTCGTCGTAATATTGCGTGTATAAGTCACCCGGCGCACACAATGTTGTTGTTGGAATTCGCTGATGTCCAGCCCGGCCGCATAGATCACGTTGGCCTACGCCAGTTACAGGGCATTGGTAGTTTTGGCGGCGCAAAACCTATCGGATGCAGAGTCAGAGTCATGTATTTGATGGGCTTAAGCACTATAACCTGTTCCCGCATGATTCTTGTCCTGTTACTGGAGGGCGCGTCCGAAAGATCAAGTTCCGTTCCTCTTCTAGTCGGTATAGCCTGTTGAGCAATATTGCTTGCCACTGCTGCTCGTGGTAAACGGGAGTAAGAGCTAGAGACCTTGACTAAACCAGCATGGTTGTGTGAAATCAGAAGGCGATGGGAAGAGAACTTACAAAGCCATAGAAGATGAGCAAACCACGTCAATCCGAGTGTCTTCATCTGCTGAAGTGTGGTCTTCAAGTCACTCTTTTGATATCCAACTTGGCAAGTGCATATGGCACTTGCTACGTATCTCAGTCCAGCATCCCCACCACATTCGCTCGCTGTGTCCAGCATAGCAGTAAAGACCTTGTCGAGACAGCCATTGAACTTCAAAAACCACAGAGGTACGTTCTGGAACTCGTCAGATTCTTGAAAGGTTTTGATCAGGTCTCGAGCCTGTGTAAGGAGCTCGTCAGTTGAACGTGTCGTATCACTGATAAGGTGTTTCGCATCGTCACTTGTTGCTGTTTCTCCCAGCTCCACATAGAACGATCCCCAGTCCGCAGAAGAAGAGCCCGGCTCCGTAGACTCAGACCCGCTCAAGGAAGAAAGATCTTCCAGGGTGTGTTGAGCGGTACGAAAAATCTCCGAACCGTCTAGTCGTCGTCGTCGCCGAGAAGGTCCAGCCTCAGGATAGTCAGGATCAGGAGTGTGAACTCACTTAGACATTTGAGGAATAAAGCGTAATAGATATGCAGCACAAGGCACGCAGTACTTGAAACGAGAAACGAAAGACGGTCGTGGCGGTTAGAAAAGAAGGAACTTGGCTGCAATGATTTCCGTTCCTTCTTCACGTGAGCGTTCGAAAAATTATTTATTATCTATCATTTCTATATGTGAAGATAAATCGAAATTAACTATTTAAAAAAGACACAAAGTCTACCATGACATTGCATCCGACTAAAGGGACTGAAGCCTATTACTTCCACTATACCTCAAGTTGCGACGTATCAGTTGAAGAAATCTGCTGGAATGAAGGCAAAACTCAGCAAATTGACGCAAATCAGTACCCATCTGTTGCCAGAATCATGGATGACCCAAATTACACAACCAAGTATCTCGTTGCCGAAGCACGACAGCTCATCAAGGATTATCAGGGCGATAGTCCGAGATGGTTCTCTGCCTTGGGTGGTAGCCTCATTTCCGTTATATCTGCTGTGCTAGACTGTGCCTTTAACAGTGGTGGTGACCGTGGCCTTCGCTATGTCAGTTCAGCTATATACACCTGCAAAGGGAACTTAGACTCGAGCACGACCCATCGCATCAGTCAATTGGCCTTGGCGTGGTTTGCTTATTTCCTATGGCCGTGTGAGTATATTGACATGTACCAAATTGAATCTCAGCTTATTCCTAGCGCTGATAGTTAAAGCGTTAAACTGGTACTCAAAACTGGTAGTTCAAGAAACCGACAAGGAGGAGCTTCCTTTGCCTCTATATGAGCTACGACAACAGGTTCTCTTTATACATCACCTGCATCCTAGTATCTGACTCCTATCATACCTAGCTGCTATGACAGCAGAACTATCGTTGCCCCATAACGGGCGTGGTGGAAATGGGACATCCTAAACTTCCAGGCGATATGACAAGCACACTGGGGATTTTTCATATCCTCGAAAGACCCATCATAGGTTTTGAGAAGGTAAGACCAACGCCGCAAGTGCTTGCCACATCTCGAAAACAACTACATACTAGTTCGACTTCTTCGAGCCCATCACACGAGAGATTATAGAGAATTATTTCCCGACGCTGGACCTGGATTCACTCCCGGAAGATCCCAGTAATGCCATTGCTCTTGAGCGTAACACGTACACAAATTTCACCGACTTGAGGATGTCCCTCAAGGCAACTGCGGTGAGTGAATAATCGCATTACATCACGTATCTATCTATCAACTTTCTATAACAGAACGCCAACGAATACAGGGTAGAGACCTACGGAGAATGCCTATGGGCCGCGCCCCTACCAGCGGTCATCGTCATCAAGGAGGCCGACCCACAATATCTCCGTTCACATTCATGCGTAGCAGACGTACTCCACCAAAGTGGCGCGGGGAGAGTCATTGATAAGATTCTAGGATGCCTGCCCCAACGAACGAGCGCCGTACATCCAGCAGACATAATAGATCTCCAGGGAGTCTTGGACATACTGGGACTCCGGTATTCGCTGGTTACGGCTTTGCAATTACCCCAGCTTGATGATGGAGTCTTTGTATAATCCCAGATTAATTATGGCGATATCAAACCGATTATTAATTTACAACCTATTACCGCCCACGTCCTGCAGCTTCTTGATAAGGAAGATTTGGACTCAAGGATTTGTGAAAGACGATATAACCAATGAGCACATTAAAAAGGAGCCCCAAGAACGAAAGGGTCCTACAGACCTGGTGCGTGAACGTCCGCCACAACTCGAGGTTACCCAGGCATATATTTATGTTATGTCTCCACTGCTTCCAACTTCTCGTTAATCATCATGGTTCACTGCTGCGCTCCTCCCATGTTGAATTCCCATCCCTCGGATCTTTGAGCGTTGCATTTGGCGTTTCATTTATTCCTCGCATTTTTCGACTTACCGATCGATGTACTACAAAGTCCTTCCGCTCCATGAATTTCCCAGTACCTATCTTTTCCCAAGAGCCGCTTCCAGATGAATGGTAGGTGTGGGTCGCTAATGGATTGTGTACATTCTCATCGCCCAAGTCATCGGACAACAAGTGGTAATCATTATCTGAATAGGCCAGTGGGTCCTGGATTCTAATGCGAACAGGGAAAATGGCCAATGCATAGGACACGATGCCGAAATAGTGATGAGTATGGTTGATGAAACTGGAAGTGAAACGGGCAATCCGGCTGGGGTGCGAATGGACTCGCTTCACTTATTCATACAGGAAGAACAGTGTAAGAACTTGAAGAGAAAGAGGTGAAGGAATGAAAGAATAAGCAATTATCCACTGAGCCCAGAAAGTTAAGCGGGTTATAACCTTGGAGACAATAATTCACGTCTTTGTATAGTACTCTTCGTTTACCCACGGTTGAATACAGGACCCATACATTCAACTATCAATCGCACCGACATGTAGTTCCCCCAATCAAAAAAATTACTACGCATGGATTTTCGTGCTCCCCGCTTTCAAGACGACCTATTGCGCATCTGCTCATCCCTGAGCACCGGCTGAAATGCCTCCACGATAATAAACTCGACTTGATCCCATCCGAGCATGAAAGTCGTATTGGAAGCCAAGAAAACATGCCATGATGATCCTGGAGTGGGGTATCGTCGCTGGGGAATACGATGGGCATAGAAAGCTCTCTCAGAGGGGGGCAGTGTTTTGCTAGAGCCCAGAACACTTCGTATGTCGGACGACATCCTCCGAGAACTGGGATATGAATGGCTTTGATCTCCGGTCATGCAGGTGCTAGGACGAGTTCGACGGTCAAGGATTCCAAGGAGAACATAACATTGTAAACGATTGTCTGGAGTTTCCAAAGGCCGTCGAACGGCTCAAAAATGGACCTTGTACTATTAGATTCCCATTACTGCCGAGCCAAATGTCCATATGTTCGATAAGTCAAGGACAGAGTCCGAAGAGAAGGAAATCGAGAAACAATCTCTACGTGAGAATTTTGCATGAACCCCCCAATTTCATTATAGGACTGGCTGCAAGTGTCGTATACGTTAGGGACGTCAGAGATCCCGGGCGAATCAATCGAAGAATGCAATGCATTGAGGAAACGTAAGTTGCGATGTGTAGAGATTCAAAGGATCGAAATCCATTGAAAGGCACAAGGAAAGATATATGAGTGCGGTTTCAGAGACAAAATGGTATGCCAGCGCAAAGGAGTAGAGAGAATCGATGCGTATCCCATTCAAGGGTGCTTGGTTGATATCTCAAAGGTCCTTGCAAACAGAGCCGAGCAAGTCGGCACTATAGAGAACTGCCGTAACTGGACTATCGGCGATTAAGCCAGCCATGTATCAAGAATGAAAGACCGCGTGGAGAGGTAAGAGCAAAAAGGTGTCTGGCGGAGCACTGAGTCAAAGGGTCAATCAGGGAACGGAAACATCAGGCACGGTCGTTTTTAACGCACTTTGTAACCATCCTGCATCATGCGGAGTGTGAGAAATAGAAGTCATGAAAGCAAAAGCATCGTCTACACCGCGGAGGCTTCGGGAACTATATATCTTGCATCGAAATCCCGGTTTATCGATTGGTTTGAACGGGTATTTGCAAAGTGAATCGGTAGAGTATGATGCATCTAAAACATATCAGAACGAATTCAGATGATTATTGAACTAACCTTGACATGGGGTAAAAAGCTGCACAAATCCAAAGTATGAATCGAAAGGCTGTTCGAATTCTCATTCCATCCGTGTTCTGACCCTTGTCTAGATAAGCACATGTGAGACGGAAAGAGCTTGGATAAGTCGAGCGCGACGTCCGCACCTCAGGTCCCCGCTTGACGCTTTTGATAACGGTGCACCGATAGTCCGGCCAATCAACCTTCAAAGAGAATCATGAATTTGTTTCAACCATCGAATATGAAAAGAAGGTAAAAATTTTCGTACATGCATTTTTGAGGAGAACGTATTGTCTGGCACGTGTCTGATGGATGCACAAAGGACCTTGAGGAAGTATTGGAGTCATCGCTCTCTGAAACGAGTATGAGAGGAAGCATCGAGTAAGTCCATGCCGCGCGTCTTTCATTGGGTCCTAGTCGACATATTCGTAGGCGCACATTGACAGTTGCGAGTATCTGTCATAGAGTCTCAGGAGTGTTTGTACAATTTAAAAGACAGATGTCCAGGGAAGGGAGTTGGTGTAAGAGCGCCTGAATGTTTTGTTACGCGCAATTTGATGGCGTGCCAAGGAACAATTTCAACCGATGGAACCGTACCGACAGTTAATTAGAGTTGAATCTTCCAATGAAGAGAGACCAAATTCGAGAAAGCTGGGGTAAACCATGCGCGCTTCAATTTCGCGGCACCCGCGGTAGCTCCTCACAGGAATTTGTCGTGGATCCGGGATGGCTTATTTCCACCATTTTCTTCTCTTCGCTTTTACAAAGGGTCAGTGGGCTCGGGCAGTCCCCAAGAATCAGAAATTGAATCAGAAAGTCGCCTCTCCTCCCGACAGCGGGGGAATAATATCTTCTGATTATGGCGTTAAACGGGTGCATAGAGCGCGTCACCTAATCAGCACCCGCTTGCACAGAATGTCGGACAGATTCACTAGCAGCTTGAATGAAGCTACGTACCGGCGTTACGTGCCCACACCGAGCTTCCACATCGGTCCCGCAATTTCGTTCGGAAGAAGGGTCAGCTTCTGGAAGGGAAAAAATGCGCCTGCCCCTACCGGGCCACATATCCGTCCCCCTAAATCTCACGGTCCGAATACAACGGTCCGATATGTTTTCTTTTTCAGACATTCCCGTGCCTTTAGGCGTCAACCCACATCTATCGTTTTCAGCCATGTGCATGCTCCCTGGAACCCAGCCTGGCCTGGTCCCACAGAATGGAAAAATCGATACGAGCCTTGCATGTGTCCTAAAGGAAAAAGCAAACATGCTTATCGCCACCCACCGTCATTACCACCTGCACCCGTTCTTCTTGAGCTTCTTCCATTCATGGAGAATCAGAAATTGATAACCTAGCCGTTTGACGGAACAGAGTGCTCAATAAACGACACCGACCCGAAGCCCAAGCTCCACGCCACCGCGGAACTCAGCTATGATCTCGTGCAAGGGTGAGACTTGGCTATGAAGGCCTAGTAGGTGCGTCGCCAAGGAAGCATGTTCAGAGGGTTGTAAAGTATACCAACCTCTGTATTCAGGGCTGTCAGCCTTTTTAACGGAGCCAATACCTTGATAGAGGAACAGAACATTCGCAAAATCGGGGGGATATGTCTGCCAGTCTCACTCCGGCCCGAATTTCCGACAAAGGGGAATATTTAAGTGAACACCAACTTGACCTACTCCAACAATGGACACCCTCATTTCATCTCTCGTTCTACACGGCCCACACGATCTTCGCTATACACGCCGCCCTCTCCCGCCCCCTCCTCCCCATCACGTTCAAATCGCCGTTCTCTCTACCGGGCTCTGCGGGTCTGACCTGCACTACTATCTTCACGCGCGTAATGGCGCCTTTGCTCTCCAAGCACCCCTCGTCCTTGGCCACGAATCAGCGGGAATCATCACCGCCGTTGGACCTCTCGTCACGCACCTTCGTCCCGGTCAGCACGTCGCTATTGAAGCCGGGATTCCTTGTGGATCATGCGAATATTGCAGATCTAACCGGTACAACCTCTGTGAGGGGATGCGCTTCCGGAGCAGTGCCAAAACTTTCCCCCATCTCGATGGTACGATGCAGACGCGGATAAATCACCCTGCGAAATATGTGCATGTGCTGCCCCGCGGGGTATCGTGCGAGCAGGGAGCACTCGCCGAGCCTTTGTCTGTCGTATTGCAAGCATCGAAACGGGCTGGAGTCTCGAGAAACACGCGCAAAGTACTTGTGTTCGGGGCTGGAGCTATCGGGATGCTGGCTGCTGGACTCGCGCGTTCAAGGGGCGTGCCTGTAGAAGCAATTGCCATGGTTGACATTAACCAACAACGGCTGGCATATGCAAAATCCCGTGGACTTGTGGGAAAGATCTTTTGTTTATCGCCGCAGGCCCCAGCAAAAGGCGTTGATGGTCTCGAGCGGAGTAGAGCCCAAGCGGAGGTATTTGGCGGAGGATATGATGTCGTATATGAATGTACTGGTGCTGAACCGTGTATTCAAATGGCTGTCTATGTGGGTACCTCTTCTTTTCTGGGTTTCTCGAATTCTAGCTAATGTCAATCAGAGTGCGAAAAGCGGGGGAAAGGTCCTTCTCATTGGAATGGGCACGCCTAACGCTTTGATACCCATAAGCAATGCCGCTACGAGAGAGGTTGACATAATAGGGAGCTTCCGGTATGCAGACACGTATAAGGAGGCTCTTGAGTTACTTGCTAGCAGTAAGCACTCCCATGTTCGCGACATAATGTATCTAACTTTTTGTTCAGACTCAATACCGCCAATAATGGATCTCATAACCCACCGAGTGCCCTTCAATGTTGACGCAGTAAAGAAGGCGTTCGAGGCTATGGCTAAGGGGAAAGATGAGAAGGGACAACTAGTGATCAAGATCATCATTGGTGCTGAATGACAGAGAGTATGGAAGACGGACCTGTGTAATTTGTGTGTAATTGTGATGTAATTATTTTGTTATGACGAGGTACCGGCTTTATGCGAGATTTTTATCCGCTTCTTTTGCGGCTTCTTGCAGCAGACAGTGATCGCCGAAGATCGACATCACCAACACCATGGCCACTATACGATCTCCTCATATCGTGGGTATCCGGTGAGCGCAATCTGTATCATGTTGCATAGTCATTGTGCCTTTCAAACAGGGGAAGTAAGAGAGTCTTTGAAGCCAGACACTTTGACACAGGAGTGTCCAAGTTCAATGGATGAATGTGGACTTACGGATGATCGCACCGTAGAACCAAGGGTCGCGCAAGATCTGCCGGACCGACCAGCAACATTGAAGCAAGAAAAATTTCGACTTCCGTTGTCCTCGTAGTTTTGCAAACAAGCCGATATATTCTGCCTTGAATTATACTATACATGAAACTAATAAGGTGCGTCAGCCACTGCATGGAGTAAATAATAATTGTAAAAATCAACTCACGCTTTAGGATACAAACGTACTAGACACTGCATTCCATAGCTTCAATGAATACTCAAAATCCGTGTATCAAGGAACATTATATAGATCAGACTCGCCTCGACTGTCGGGTTTTTAACTTCTTGAACTTCGGATAAGTAATTTTCATCCAAGCGCTCTTTCTTTCCTACTAAGACAAGCTGGGCGTAACGAGAGTACATTCGCTCTGACTTCCGGGCAGGATTGCGGACTGAAATCTGATAAGGGTAAGAAATATAAAGCCTGTCACAACATACCGTAAGACGGTAGCCATTTCCTACACTCTTCAGACCGAAGACGGGGAGAAGAATTCTACGAGTTCCGAATCTATGCCTCTTCAACATCTCTACACGTGGAACAACGCGTCTTAGTGAACCCGAATATCCTATATAAGAAAGAAGCTCTCCAGCTTGGGTGCAGGATAGACGCTGGAATACGAAAGCTTGAGCCTAGAAGGGCATAGTCTCGTTTCTACATTTGGCCAAACCTTGAAGACAAGTAACAGAGCATGCATAATCCATCCATCACGTCCCGTGAAGCCCCATATATCATTGAGAGCGAAGCAGCAGTCTGTATATTGTACTTTCTACCATATGCAAGCTACCAGCTGAGCAACTAGCGCGCCTAGTCCTGAGTCGGGTAACTCGTGCCGGCTAACAATGTTTTGTTGCAGGACATCTGCGTTGCCGGCCGGTGGGAATAGAGCTGTTTTGAGGTAGCCACCAGGGTAGACATGATGGGAGTTGAAGAAGAGTGACGCCTTAAAATGCTCCCACGCGTCACTTTCCCCTGGTACGATCTTGCAAAAAATGCGTGCATGCGCAGTGGTTCATATAACTACGTTAAATATTCTTCTCAATCACCGCCAGTTAGTGGAGCACTGGTCTTCGGACCTGGACATTTGAACGTTGAACGGTCTCGACGACGGAACACGTCACTTCCCGTCCATCCTAATCAAGAGTAAACCTTCAATGTTACGATCTATTCACTGGCATTCTTCCCTTATCTTCCACGTCTTTAACACGGCTTCTGAGTTTGATCGTGGTGGGTTTTTCTTTTCCTACCTTATTGTAAATATAATCACATAATCACCGATATTTACTAGGAATCATCTATTACTTGCTCATATTTCGGGCCAACACACTGAGCTAAATGGTCCTTTGCCCTGAGCCCATATCTACTAAATAGTTGCATAATGATGCAGACCCTTAGCATCCTTCTTCCCTTCTTCGTGTCAACGGGTTCTACATTTCTGACGCATGAATATCTCATCCCATCGTTATCGATATCATAGTTCATCACCATATACGTAACTGGATTTTGAGCAGGATCCGTTAATTTTGATAGCCATGTACGTTATTTTCTTGCATTTGAGAATGAGCTGACTCTTTTGGTAGGATTTCGGTCGCGTTTGCGGACGGCTCGATGTAACGGTCTCTGCACTCACAATCTACGGGCACCAGAGCGCACTAAAGGTCTCCCCCCCCTCGGTCCGAGATCGCAGGCTGCCTTGTATATTTCCGTGGTCTCATCCCTGAAAACACGTTGAGTATGAGCTGTTGGGATTTGGCAATCCGGCATCATGCCGAAGTTGCTTATTAAGGTAGAAGTCTTAGGAAAAGCGTGGAAAGTTCTAGTAAAAGTACATTTAGTATAAAAGTAGGTACTGTAGCGTAGATCCTCATGCGTTTGCAGAGCTCAGCCAAGCACAATACTATTGGCTTGCTACCGCGCATGTGATACTGGGAACGAACCGATACCCCGTTTTCCAACATGAGCGAAGTCAGCAGAAACACGGTCCGCGCGCTTGTTGGAATAAATTTACGGAAAAGATTCTAGGGCACCCACCCCTAATTGCAATTGCCAATTACTGATATTTACCCTGCCGCCTCGCGTTTTCTCACTATCGACTGAACTCTCATGCCACCAATCAAAAATCTGAATCAGTCCCCCTTTGACCGAATATTAGGCTTTCCTGATGCCCCTGACATCGAGACGCACACAGCGGATTGGTGGACGGTAATGGATCGTCACACCAAAGCACGTTACGACCCAAAAGCCCCTCTGCCTTCCCATCACTTTCGTTCACAATCTGCCTCGGTCTTCGAAGAAACAACGAACGAAGATGTTGTCCTCGAGTTCATTCACTTCCGTCGTTTCACTGCCACCAATCAGCTCCGGCGATCATGCCGCATCGTCGACCTTATAACTGAGGAGGACTTCGAGAAGAAGTGGCTTGCACTCTCACCGGAGGAGCAGGAGAAGCACTTTTTAGCTGGTCTGCGCACGGCAGAGAAAAACACGACCTATGTCATGTTCATCAGAAGCAAAGCGGATTGTCCGGAGCTGAACAGGGACGAGGTTACGCGGGATGGTGGACAGGGATTCCTCGATCTCATGCACCAGCTTGTGCTCTCAGATAACGTCAATGTCCCAACGCAGCCTCATGTTATGGTCAACTCTCGGTTCGACAAAATGATTGGGTTCAAAGAAGATGATCCTCACAAGGCTCGCTTGGCACAACTTTCAATGGCGAGGATGATCAGGTCGGAGTATATAGGTGCGTGAATATACATATCTGTGTTAGCAGCTATTCAGCGTTGCCTAGCAAACTTTGTTATGAACGTCCTCATGTCATACAAAGGTATAACGCCCGAGATCACCGTCTTCACCACCGAACATTCGAAAACCAAGTCCACTCTCAAGAACCACTCAGAAATGTTCGAGAAGATGATGGGAAAGACCGCAAGCAAGCAATTTAAGAGGGACGAGGTTAAACGTCGCAAAGAGATGAAGCTCCATTGTCAGTACTGTCTTAAAGTTGAAGACAAAGAGAAGGACGGTAAAATGACGGTCTGCTCTCGGTGTAAATCCATCGGACGCGAGATTCGGTATTGCAGTCGTGACTGCCAAGTGGCCGATTGGAAGCAGCATAAGAAAGAGTGCGGCAAGCCTCTGGGTATGATAAGCCGTTTCATCCACGACTAGTATTCATCCATTTTGATAGATATCTCTTCCGCATTTAACGACGTTCACATCGGAGATAGCGAAAACAACACCAAAAGACCTGACATCCCGACATGTCCGCCTGGGCATCGACGGTCACCACACGTTGTTCGACTCATCGAGTACCTCGAACTCACCACAAAGCACGACTACGTTGTCGAAACAAAACCTGGCACGGACGATGTCTTTGGTATCAAGCTCGACAAGGTCCCTGGTGCTGTCGCGTTCATTCACATGCGGAATATGCTCTTCACCACGTCTGGACCTGGCGCGGAAGGAGCTCTGCTCTACGTTTACCGGGTACTTCAGACTCAAGGTGGTGTTTCTGGAGAACGTTCCGTACAGGACCAGCTTAAGCGCGAATACGGGGAACCACTATGGAATCGAATGCAGGCCCTTGTTAAACGGGGCCCACCTTTCTCTATACCTGAAGTATCTCGCAAGGATGTTGACGTTATCATCAAAGCTTTGAGGCAATTAAAACGCTTCACTCAACAGCTTCGGTCATATACTATCGGTTTGGGACCGATAGCCAAGCTCGGACTTCAAGTAGGGCCAAAGAAGGATGTTTGCGTAATCGTACACTTCCCGGGGGACGCAATGCCTCCACCATGCATACTTGTCCCCATCCCCAACCCAGCACCTAGAGTCCCTTCGCGGAACGCCGTCGGACCCAACTTCAACCTACCTGAGCCAAGGCATTTCGACGACTTCGATTATCACCACTACGTCGACCTGGCTCAGCAGAAAAGTTATCTCCAAGTCTGCCCGCATGCAGATTACATCCTCTGGGATAGTAATGGGGTACTGCTTGCGTTTACATATACCGATATGCGATTTGCCATGGCATTTCTTCATTACCGACATCGTTTATTCGAAAATGGGCCGTACGACCATGACGCATTGGCGTACTTGATCATGGCTTTACGAACTGCCGTGCGTGGGAAGAAGATCCCCGAGGCGGTGCTTTTGGCGCAATTAGAGAGGGAGTATCACCCGGGGTATGTGGAGACAGTGAAAGCGTGCATCAAGGTGCGCCCGTCCGATGGGAAGGAGGTATATCATCGAAGGGACGGCAAGGTGTTTGAACTTGGGCAGATTCCGGCGGAAAAATCTCTTATGGGGAAGATCATGGTGCAACTCAAGGAAAGTGGGAGATTTGGGGATATTTTGGACCGTTTCTAGCTCAACGGGATTCCTCGGTAGTGTATGCGCATTCTATGTTTTTCGTTCTACAGCTGAATAAACTCTTTTGTGTAGGGTGGAGCACTATGTTCCGTAAAGATCGAACATCCCCTTCGATCCGCCACTCCCACAGATTGGCAAGGAACCCACCGTCTCTTTCTGTCGTACCCTCTAGTCTACATAATGCGAGTCTTTTTCTCGGAACCAACAGTTCTCTGCATAATGCCTTCCGACCGAATTGCTATCGCTCCTATTCTTAGTCTATAAAGGATTTTGACTGGAAACGACACTGGGAAGCAGATCGGCTAGGGGATAAAAACTCGTGCAACGGCAGACCGCCCATGTCAAGACTGAATAACTTCCATTTCCCCCTTCACCTATCTTGCGCCCCAAAAAATAATGTCTTCGCTTAATACTACAGTAACCGACCTTAGTGGACCTCGTGAAGCTCCAGCCATGAAGCTTACGGCGTAGAAAGGTCCGATGGAGAAAGATGAAACAAGACGTCCCGCAGTGACGCACCTTGCTTAGTACTCGTTCCCACGTTTGATCTTTTCCTTCATCAATGTCTAGTCACTGCAGACCGGGACCTATTGGGATCCATGTTAAGATGGGACTTCAAGCATCATATCACCTCAAAGTGCATATTACAATCTCGTTGCAGTATCATCCGTACATGCGACTTGACCCTTGAAAGTCTGAAAGTTCATAATTTCCCAGCGCTCTCCGATGTTCATGGGCCTTTTACCGATTCCCTCGCATTCCCTCGGTCACTCAAAGTTTTACAGCGCCGAATTCTGAGTAATGCCTCCATACTTCGGGAACTGGGCCCGCCGTGAGCGCCCGTGCCTGCGCCCCTGGTCAGTCAGCTTGACTGTCGCTTGTATCTCTCCCCCGAGGACGGACTATAAAAGCACCTCTTGTCGAAGTACAGTTGCCTTCAGTAACAACAATGCGCTTCCTTCCTCTGCTTCTCACTCTCTTTGCCTTCCCAGCTCTCATCTTAGCTGGTGGTACTATCACCTCGCCGGCCAATGGGACGGTCATCCTGCCCGGGCAAAGCTTTGCCTTCTCGTACGATCCCATGGCGGACTACAGCGTGTCCACCTACAACTATACCGTCTTCCTCCTCACGAAGCTCCCCACCTCTCTTTACTCATCTAATGAGTGGTCCAGCGGGCACTATTTCGGTCGTTTCGATTACCCTAACTACCCAGGTCAGTCATGAGCATGTTTATGCAGCTTCCGCTAAACACATCTGCTTAGCCGTTCCGTACCCCACCCATCCTGCCCCAGCTAATCTAACCATGCCGGACTTTTCGCAACGCGTTGGGAGTGGGTTTGGTGGCGGCATCAACATTAGCGACGCTAAAGTTTATTTGGCGGTCTTGGAGGAATGGGCTACCGGATCGGTGAGTAAATGCAAGACCGATGCTGTACCTCGCAGATGCAGATGCTTCTTTTCATATAGGACAACTTCGGACTGACAGTGAGCCTGGCAATCAACGAACTCATTTACAATGGCACGACGTCAGGTTAATTAGTTCATTCAATGAATAATGAATGTTTCGAAATCTCTACTATAATGTACACTATATCTACATTTATTTATTTAAATAATGTCTTATGGTTTTTAATTTTTTTGACGAACAGTAAATATCATGAAGGAGTGCATAGGTACTAGTACAGTATCGGGAAAATTTTCTCTTCACTTTATCTCATTTCCTCAGACGTACTCTCTTTGCAAATACGCAGGACTTCTGGGATCCGGATCGACGCGTATCATGCGGGAATTGATGGGCGGACACTCTTCGTCAGCCTTGCCTCCAATCACATGAAACAGCGCCCCCATTCCGCCGTCTTTCAACCTATTCCACCTCTCCACGTTCCCCGCTCCTGGGGAAACAGCAATATCCTGCTTAACCAGAACAGCAGCTCGTACCTCGACGCTGGCAAGCTTAGCCACACCCGTCATCTTGTGGTTGCGCCGATTTTCGACTACGTCAATCAAGGTATCCCTCAGGAACGACATTGACGGCACCGTGCGCGACTTGTGTTTATGTTGAACGATAACGTTGAGCTTGGTCAAGCGGGGCACCAACGGCGTTTCTCTATCTCCCTCTCCCTCTCCCCCTCCTTTGACGTGAATAGAAGGTAAAATCTCCAAAAGACAGGAATCCATCCTATCATTCCACACGGTAAAACTCAACACGAGCTCTTCAAGCGCGGGCGACGCCCGAAGAATGGAAATAAATTTGTTCACCACCGGCATACAATCTCCGAAAGTGATCTTGCGCAGGGAGCAGCGGGATCTCTCGATTAGAAACAGAAGGACGGGGAGGTTCACCTCCCGGAAATCTTTGTTGAACAACTGGACATGGACTTCTTCCAGCCTGGGTGCGATGATGGATCGAAGGACACGTGGGTCTCCAGCGTGAAGAGTACGCAGAAAAGGGAGTCGTATGTTGTTGATCATAGGCGTGACGTTCTTGAGTTCGGGTCCATAGAGCTTGTACTCTTCCACCTGTCCCATCTCTTGAAGGTACTTCGATATGCCCTCGGGTATGGACATCTCTTTGGCCCGAGCGCCGCACCAATGATCGCTGAATGATTTCAGCTGAGCGAATGGGAGCTCCAGCGTGAAGCCTCCCATAGATACGTTGGCGGATTTCAGCTGGGGCGTATCCGCAAAGATACTGCATGGCGTCACTGACCAAGGCATATCCGCAATCATCCCAGGAGAGCCAGAAAATGTGAGCGACTCCAAAGAGCCGAGACGTCCACGAACAGCGTCGAGTACGGCTAGTGTCTCGGGGTTGGATAAGGTGAAGTCGAGGTTTTTCCACCGAGGAGCGTGCTTCATGAGGATGCGGAGGAGTATGTGGGTGACGGAAAGCATGGTGTTTTCTCCCTCGACGAAACGGATGGAGAGCGGTTGGTCCTGCGAATGTTTAAGGACGTCGAGGAGGCATCTGTATGGTTTCAGGACGTTCATAGCCTTAGGACTGGTGTCGATGGTGATGTTCGTCCATAGAGGTGCGTATGTGGTGATGATGGAATTCCATTTCTTACACACTTTACTGAGCACCCAAGGACCGGCGGTGGCCTTAAACGGATCGATAGTAGTAGAAGGTATGGCCTGAGAGAAAATGTTAAGTAATATTTCGGTGGGCATCTCATTTATGAAGGCGGGCTGTTTGGACTTCTCCTCTTTGATCCTTGGGACGTTTTCAGCGTCCAGGTCATCGCAATGAAAAATCGTGGACATAAAAGAAGGAATGTCGGAAGCGTTCCGGAGATACAGTTTGCTATAGTAGTCCATGAATTTCTCGTATTGAGCTTTGTTTGTTAGCGGGTCGCTGAACAACATCTTCAAAGAGTAGCTGTCAAAAAAACACAATCAGGTTGCGATCAAACAGAGAAGGGCCTGCCACGTACGAACGGCAATGCTTTCTTTGAGAAGATTGGGGGTCCGTTATGCCAAGTCCTATAACTCAAGTGAGCGAGGGCGTATTTAAAGAGGAAGGCAGCAGACCTATGACTCGGTGCAAGAGAAAGTCCTGGAAATATCTGGAAATTCCTCTTTCAAGATCGGCGACAGATGATTCGAGAAAGGACCAGCAGATTGTGGCGGCACCCGGTGCCTTCGCGCCTCAAGGCAAAGACATTTCAGGAACATCAAATTTTTGGATTAACGCAAAATAGAATAGCGTCAAGTGGCGTCTGCCGATACCCAAACGGCATGTAATCATGAATGACCCAACCTGCAAGTCCGACAAACTGACCATGATCATCTGGAGGTAAGTTAGACAGGGTTAATGGTCATCCTTGGAGGCCAAATTCGCCCCAGATGAAGGTTTGTAATGCTGGGGCTGTGGCGACATTACGCTTTGAATGAATCCTACACGTACATAGCCTTATACGCATGGTGTGGCTCGATGAAGTTTTCCGATAATTTTTTCGACTCTCGTGCATCAAGCCTCAAGCTCTTCAAGTTCTTAGGCCCCAGTTATCATTGACTTTGTCTCCGAAACCAAAGGTCCGAGATTGGTATGGAAGGTCACAGATACTGTTACGTATTGTAATATTAATCTTTCACGCCACTCCCCGTCAGCCATTTTCACCGCAGCACAGTAGGATACGCACCTTTGGTAACACGTATAGGCACGGCAAACATAATTCAGCTATCACTCATAGCTCCGCACGTTTTCCCTTGTATGAGCTGGATTGGCTTCAAGAATTGCGGCAGCGTTGGGAAGGTCTGTCTAAAGATTTGATTCCGGGCAACAGTGGACATCGTTGTACTTGTTCATCTTGAGAAAAGATCGATGCGAATGATATTGTGTAAAGCAGGAGTAAAATTAAGGAGACGTGAGCGTTGAGTGAGTGGTTTCTGGAAGGCGGTCACCGGTAAGACGCCATGTTCTCACGCTCCGACCAACTCATCGATGATCGGCCACGTTCCCCTCCCAATGTGTCGCCCACCAAAAACACCAGAAACACCACGGAGAACATTACAAAATCACCCGGAACTGCTTAGAAGTAAGTTTACTTGAATGCAGAGATTAAAAGTTAAAAATAAAAGCAAGGTGAAATGAAATCGGGAGAATCGGCAAAATGTCTGGGTCGCTACCACCATGAAGCCCATATCCTTCGGTCTCATTCTTCTGTTGTGACTACCCTCTTCATCTCCCTGGACAACGAGTGAATTTGCTCTGGAGATGGCTCTGGATTCGTTGTATCGATGTCAGCGCGTACATTGCGTCCATTTTCGTGTCCAACTTCCTCTTGGAAGGCCCGCAGCGACGGATTACTTGGTGTACGGGAGTAGCGGGCGAAGATTGTCATCACTTTCGGCCCCATTGGAGGCATAATTTACATCATAGGATGCAGACAAGGTCGAGACATCAGGCCCAAGCTTCACGTATGGCGTCGCGTCGAGGAGCAGGCATCGGAGGGTCCGCAGCTCTGTCTGATTTGCCCGTTCCCCTTCTCCGGTTCTCGATGGATGTCAATGCCTTGGACTACTGCAGGTTTTTGTTAGTGCCTTTGGCCCCGAAAGATGGCACGTCAGGCTCATCGTCCAAGGACCAATCCGACAGGGCCCTTATTGCACTCCCGAATTTAATCGGATCTCCAGAGGTATCGCAGTAGTTCTATTCCCCTGGAAGGGTTTCTTACAGTCGCTCAGGCCGATTTTTGGTCTCTGTCATCTCGCAGTCGAGTACACACTGCAATAGGGAAGCAAGAAAGCAACGGTCCCGTCCTTTCTACGGCGCGCGCGGGAATCAGGCGATTGGTAAGTAGAGTCTTTAGCGTTTATCCCTGCCCTACTTATTTATATAAAGTTATTATAATGTCTCTTCATCTGTTTGAGCACGATGGCGCTCTCCGAATACTCATAGTGCATGAAAACGTAAATGTGACATTGCGGGAGTTTGTCAAGTCGATAGGACAACGTCCATTGAAGGGATGGGATGGAAAGTGCTGTGAAAGGTGAAGCTACATGCCTAGGCTAGTATGTGAGTGAAGTCGGCCTGAGGAATTGTTAAGCTGGTGTTTATGTTCATTACAGGGAAAGTTCATGGGCGGAGAGAAAAGGCTGAAGTTGAAGGCGCAGTTCGAAATCAAGAAATGTGCAAGGGACGTGCTCAACAAGAAAAATGGCGCTTTCTAAAGACATGTATTGATGGCCCAAGTGTTTCTCACCACACAATTCCAAGTTGCGAATTCCCGACCTGCGAAACCAGAATATCAATGCAAGGATGTATATTCAAACAAGATCACCTCAACTATGTTCACATCAGCCTGTTCCAGCGAGGCTGTTACACGAGTAATAAGTTTCAAATGAGAACTGATGCTGATATTTTTCACCCAGCCTATGGTTCGCTGAGTTGATGTGATGAAGAGAAGAAGCGTCTATTCATAGCTCGTGGAACATCTTATCCAACAATTCGGCAGAAACTCTTACCGACATCATCCCAACAAGTTTTCACCCACTTGTAGGGCCGGCAACCAGACCAGGCCGTCAATACATTTGGGAAAAATCAGTGACGGTGCTGATACTTTGCAGCTATGGGTGTCCTCGGTTCCCAGCACCGCTTACAGACTTCCAACTCACCTGGATTTTCTGTGAGTGGTTATTATTTACAGAAGCCAGACCAACGAACACCTCCCAGCTTGCAGTTAAGCTTGCGGCTTCAAGTGGCATGGCCTTTGATGTGATCGTGACTCTGGCTATGAGTAAGCAGCTTGATGTCTATTCCGTTTCGAGTGACGGTTCAACTGCCTTGTAGTTACAAGTCTTCATCGAGTTTGATCAGGGATCATCAGGTGCGTGGTCGTTCTCACGATGGACGGTTGTTTGACATTTCCGGTACAGAAGTGATCATGTTATCACTCTTCTTACACTGTTCACTGTCAATACGAACCTCATCACGACGTAAGTACTTTTGTCGCCTCTATATACCATTACCGTTGAGACTCGCCGATAGTTTACTCTCGGTAGGGTCATTGGTTACGGTAAGATGAGAGTTCGATTCGAAATCCACGTCTGTGCTCAACAAGTATTCTTGTAGTTCTTGGTCCTTCCCGATGCGACAGTCTACGGAGGAATTTCTTTCTTAATTGCAAAGTGTAAGGTTCATTTCCTCAGTTTCATCTTCATTCAACTGATTCCTATCTCTTCAAGCGTACTTGAACTCGTTTTTAGCCATGTAAGCCTGACCTTCTTTCGTAATTCGAGTGAAGCTTACAATATCATCATCCATCAGACTCAATTCTAGAGATTACCTTCGAGAAAAGCTGGATCCGTCAATGTCGATTCACGAGGCCCAATCTTCACATCCAGTGTTTGCCGAATTTAATGTACGTGATGATTGTTGTTCTTAGGCGTCAAATTGACGGTCTGCGAAAGTCGACTGATACCACAACGACTCAGCAAATGGAAGAGTCGGAGCCAGAGTCAGCTCTTGTGAATGATTCGTCAACCAAAGTCTAAATTATTTTGCTGATGTTGGGGGAATTGACTTATTTATATGTCGATTAAATATTTTATGTTTGATATGTGTTATACTACGATGCTACAAGGATATATCCCTTCACTGAGTAACAAGATACTAAAAAGAGCCAAGCAAAAAATTAGGATCATGATGTGAAGGGCGTCACCGTTCACGCACCCTGATCCCTCATTAGACGCTTCTTAGCGCAAAGTGAAGGTAGGCAACTTTGGTCGCTACTTATCTGTCCAAGTTCAGAAATTACTACACCTACCTACTGCCGGAAGGTAGTCACCAGCTCGGACAAGTGGCTGGGCGATTGATCGATCGCCTGCCAACCGTTCCTTATTGGGACCTTGTGCCGGTACCAATACCAATACCACCTTGTCTCTCAATGCCACGGTATCATTTCCTTCCTTCATATCACAAGCGCTCTTCAGCAATCGATATATCGATCTGTGGGGGCTAATTGCAAATGAGATGCATCCCCTTCTCGAAGACGTGTTTGGCGCTGCTGTTTTGAAGGAGAAACCCATTTACGACTCACTGAATCGTGTTACAAATAAGACCCTAGACAACATATAAGACTCTGGTAATGTCAGTGTCAGCGGGGACACGCTAATAAAAGGAGCGAAGAAGCCGCAGATGTACTTGTACTAAGCATTTGGCTGGTCTCTCACCCGCTCGAATAACAACTAATACACCGCCAGGCTGGGGCCGCCGCCACAATACAAGCAAGTCATATCGTAAGACGTTCCTTCCAAGATTTCTCGCTTCTCGGGACTTTTTCGTTCCATCTTATCCCCCATAATGTTAGGCATTGCAGTGCGATTGGATAAAGTTCGCTTGGGAAATGCTGCATCCAGGTTCGTGAGTCTCTTCAGCTCCAATGATTCTCTATCTGATTTCTTTACCAGTTAAGCAGGCGGGATACAGAGTACCTCGACCATATTGCACTTCTCGAATAGATTCTTCCTCTATTCGCCTTCACACACCTATCCTCGTGTCGTCTTTAGAAGGGCAATATCAGCATGTTTTCTATTGCAATTCTCGTAGTTGCCAGTCGGAATGCCCTTCTTATGCCTAACAATCTCAAGAGCTATTCAGTCCTGGGAACGGCTCCGGCCCCATGGCTGTATCATCTGTATTTACAACTACAATGATAAAGGCCGCCTCGGGAAATCGGATAAACGACTACGTCTTATTCGTTAGCGCCTGAATCTCACTCTACTGCCGTCCAATGACCTCTTGAAGAAGCAACGCCGGATCGCGTCTTCAGTGGGTCATGAAAGGAGTATCCTCAGCTCCAGTCCCGAACGCGACTCAGGTGCATGTCAGCTTCGATGAGCCGCCTCGTTAATCATCTTGAAAGAGATCTGGCCATCTCACAGTATCGTCATTCTTCAAACTTCTCCTGCCGTATCCATACCAACCACAGGCCTTCTTCAGGATGTCTTTTTTTTTTCCCTAGCAAGGGACATACGGACAATCAGGCGACCCTTCTACTTCGATTCGCACTCCAACTGTGATACCCGATCATACAGGAGATTGCTATCGAAGCGTGTGGCACGTTCACATGAAGTAGTTAACGCTGAGAAGCGGTCGTGGATCACCTCTCTCTCTCCACCATAAGGTGTTGCATTACCCTTCCCAGAGACCAAATGCTGGATTCCAATTGGTGCGTGAATTACGAAAGTATCGACTGCATCCCTGATCAAGATCCAATCTATCAGTTGATCAGTGGCGTTCGAAGCTGAAATTAAGGCTTTTATAGCCTGAGGTGAGGCAATTTACCCACCGCAACGTCAAAGCGTCTATGTGGTCCGTATCGGAATCCGAAATCATCATATCAGATGACACCATCGGACTCATCTTAAAAGCCAGCATCGATGCTCTCCCGTCTCTCAGTTTTTTCCCGCCATTTCAACTCTTTCCCACCCACTATGTCTGTCAAGAACTTTGTCGAAGTACGCCGTGTTTCGCCCGTTACTCACAGGGGAATCTTATAGAGTGTTGTTTAGGAGACTATCAGCTCGCACAAGATAGCTGTCTTCTCGAAATCCTACTGTCCTTACTGCCGGCGTGCGAAGACGATGTTTAAGGACAAATACCCCGATGCGGACATTGGCATCATCGAGTGTGTCTGTTGTTCAAACTAACGACAATTTCTCATCTCCGTATTCCGCAGGCTTGATGAACGTGATGACGGAAGTGACATACAGGAGTATCTCCGTCAAAAGACGGGTCAAGGCACCGTACCCAATGTATTCATTAGTAAGTCTCGCGGTGATGCGTCCAGTTAACTTATCTAACATATTTTCTAGACCAAGAGCACATCGGTGGGTGTGATGACACGATGGCGCTGCAGAGTTCAGGAAAGCTTGCTGGATTGATTGCAGCATAAGGGAAGTAAGCTTTGATAACGGACCAGACTGCGAAGCAGGAATCCCGTAGAAGTAAATCGTAACTTGCGCAGGAATCTATGTACAGTGTTATCTCTATGCTAAAGGCGACGCATACACGGAACAAAGTCGGTTAACATTCCTTTATACCGCCACAGGACTTTTCTCCGCCTCGGGTTTTCCTTCCCTCCTTTCATCAAACACGACAGCTTTGAGACCCAAGCACAGAACCACCTCCAGCCCTGCAACCCCGACGAGAACCCAACACCCCCGTTGCCATGCGCCCACATATGCATCAATAACGGTCTGTCGCTCTGGCCCGCTCTCAGGAAGTCGCGAAAGCGTATCAACAACAGAGTTTGGGTTCAAACTTGTTATCACTGAGAGATACGGTGACCTGACGAGCATATCACGAAAAGCATTGTTGATCACTGTCGAAAATTGAAAGGCTGAGAGAGAGAGACGCGGATGAGAAAGATACATACCATTGCCAAGGATTGCTACACCGAGAACACCACCCAGGGTAGGTGCGGTACCAACCAAGGCGGTCACAGTTGACAGATAATCGTCAGGTAGACCGATCTGCGCAATAACCATTGTCATCTGTGTTCCCTACAAGTACGTTCAGCATTGTCAGTGCGTCACAAAAGTAGGAAAACATACGGAACCAAAGCCTGCGCCACAAATCAACGAATAACCTACAATGCGTCCGATGCTACTGCCTTCGTTCAAGGTCGACATAAGTCCCTATCAAATTATGTTAGTCCCACCCGCTTTGCCAGTACGAGCGGAATACGACTTACCATACCACCAGCCAAGATTGCCAGAGGTATGATGAACAAAGCTTTCAGTGCGTACCCGCCACCCCATCTAGGTGCAAGCCAGCTCGTAGCGGTACTGGAGATTGATGCCATGATCAAGAACGGAATGATCAGTGCAGACGAAACTACCGAAGACATCCCAATCACTTGAAGAAACACTGCGACGAACGAACTGGTTGGCACTAGGGTCTTAGAGACTTGACACTTGAGAGACTAACCAGGAAGATAGAATGCCTAAACGCTAACCTGTCAGACTATTGAAGAGAATGAATTATGTGGACGCAACTAACCAGTGCAAACAGATGGAAGAACGAAAATGTTCGCACAACTACGGCACTGCAGTCAGATACCCAACCCTCACAGAGATAAAGAAATCCGTACCGGTCATAATGCTCACATTCCTCCATTTCCATGTCGAAAACAGCTCAACCGGTACAATAGGCATCTCTGCTTTCGTCTCTACTGTGATGAATGCAAGAAAGCTCGCCCCTGCGCCTGCGAAACATCCTATCACCACAGAAGAGTTCCAAGGTAGGTCTTGGCCTCCCACGTTGAGTGCGACAACCAGACAGCTGAGGGACACCACAATGAGGAACATCCCGATCAAGTCGATCTTGGCGAGAGCTTCTCGGAATGTCCGGATTCGTGATGGCGGTGGTGGTATACGGAGCGTTGCCCACAAGAAGATGGTAACTAACATTCATCAAATCAGCGCGGGTGACAAAATTGCAACGCGGGAACCAGACTGACTAACAGGTCCAAAAGGCGCGGTGAATAGGAATCTACAAGAGCTGTTAAGTTCACAGATCTAATGTTGAACAGATAAACTCACATCCAGCGCCACTGACCAGCTTTTGCAAGCGCTCCACCAGCAATTGGCCCAAGCGAATCAGACAGGATGAAGACTACGTTGAAAATATTCATGTATGCTCCTCGTTGCTTTTCGTTTGTTAATTCTACCCAAGATGCATCAGTAAAACAAAAAAAAAGAGACTCTACAAAGATGTACTCACGAGAAACGATGATACTAACTAGACTAACCAGTCCAGCACCACCGATACCACTGATCAAACGTCCGGCAATCATCTGTGATAGTCCGCGACTTGTTCCTGCGATGATATTACCAATGATAAATACCCAGACTTCCAAAAAGACGAGCGGTTTGACGCCAACAGCGTCCTAATAGCCGTCACTCAATTATAACGTGGACCACACAAAAAATTTATAGCCCTTACAGCAATCCTTCCAGAGATGGGCTGAATAACAGTCGTCGTGAGCAGGTAAGATGTTGTTATCCATGACAGCGAGCCTTTGATCTCGAGTTCAGAACCGATGGTAGAAACCGAAGTCGCCACGATGGTTTCATCTACGTCAGAATAAGAGTCAAGTCGCGCAGATTTCTGAAATTCTGAAAGACGCACCGATAGCAAAGAGAAACAGCGCCAGACCAAGACTAGAATCGGGTTGAATGAGCATTCTGATAGACTACAGTGAGATGTTCTGGAGACCTTGACAATAGAACGGTCACTTGAACGAGGGACATGTCATTGACTTTGGGAAAAGGATCGCTGGGTTGGACAGCTACATTTTCCTGCTCTGGAGTACGAGGTTGCGAGGTTATCGAACGAGATTCGGACCGGCGCTCCGATTGGATTTCCGCAGATTCATGACTTGAAGGCATCTCTCAAGGACTTGCATCTTGCTTCGATGGGTTATTATATAGGTCCTTTGAGCAGCGAAAGGACTCACGGTAGTGTCGCCAAAGAAACGTTGTCGATGAGACCACGCGGTTCAAAGTTCACGTTCATTGATGGCTCGGACGCGGAGAGTCGGATTCTTTGATGCATTCCTGCGGACTGTGAAATGATAGCAACTGTAGCTGTTATGATCTCGTATTCATAAACGGGAGAAATAGCATGATATAGAAGAGCGTAGTTGCAACTGACAGAGTAACTGCATGCGGGATGCAGACGAGTGACTCCGCCGCGGCATGATACCGCGGCACAGCAACTGCCGGAAGGAATTGGACGGTCCTCTTTTGATTGGCCATTCGTATGCAGTCTTTACCTTGAGCTTTCTCATGACGAGGGGGTATACTATTACCCTCTTAAGACTTTTTATCACATCTTCTCATTCATACTACTTGCTAAGGTCAAGGACCCGGTACTGTATTCACATCGATAGCAGAGCGCGACGCTTACACACCACCAATCGGCATCCCAAGTCTCTATTCCGCGACGTAGACTCTGCGCAAGGTATGTCAAGTAGCGCTGACCTCAGGCTTTGGTGAAGCACTAGTTAACAAGGTAGGAAAATGCCAACCTACACCAACCCGGTAAAGGCCAGTTTATGTAAGTGCAGATTTTTTTCTATGTTGTATTTTACCTTGCTCATGTTCTGTACAGTAACATTGGAATTTTTTCCAGTTTGCATAATGCCCGAACCCATCATGTGCCGCCATTTCCAGGTCTTTACCTCAAGCATTGTCATGATATTTCATTACGGCTAGCTGCTCAGAGCTTCCGAAGGGTAATGACAATATTCTAGACATCGAGAAGTACTACGTCCGCAACCAGAGAAAACATCACCAGCGCTCAAGCCACATTGGATCGTCTCCTACGAGGACGGCACCAAGAGCTAGCGACAAAATCATCAACGCTAAAACCTTCCTGTATCCCCATATACATGCCCGCGACGGTGTCGCTGATGCCTTTCGACACTTCTACCCGATGTCATACAATTTCTGCACCTCTGCTGTCTCTCTCGCGTTTTATCACATCTTCTAATAGACGATATGACTCTACAACCTCCCTAAACGCTATCACGAGTCAACTAGCAATGGAGAGAGGGTCGTATATCTACAGAACCTCTAGTGCTTGTCAACTTCTTGTATCTCCGGAATATAGGACATTGTGCGGTGCTGTCATCTGGTACAAAAGGATATGTATTCATACCGTTCGTACGTTTAATAGTCGTGATCATCCCCGGGCTGCATGTTTGTGTCCCTCGCAACAAAACTTGTTACGGACCCCCTCATGGTTTCCGCGCACACAGGCCTCGGGCTCGCACATGTCATTCACAGAAGCCTTTCAGATGACTTCCTTGCTGAAGTCTCTTATCTCCATGGTTGCAGAATAAGATGGCGCGAAGCATTATCCAGCATCCGCACTTGCCGCTCTAGCATTTCGAATTCCCCTCTCTGTCAACGCACACTCCATTGTATGGAGGATTGAATAACTTGAGGAACACGACAAAAGGGGTACGATGGATAACATTCTTACCCACCGCCAATGCTACGCGGGCCTATGTAGCCTCGATAGTTTGGCGTGAAGGCGGACGATCGTACCCGGTTGCTCTCCTGCAGTTGACTCCGATGGCCTGCTGGAGTTATTACAAAGTCTATTGAAAGCGGCGATTTCTTTGCTGACAGGCGATAAGCGTTGCGATCAAAGAACTGGGCGCTGTTACCGCCCGTGGGGAAAAACAATGTTGCGATGCATCATGAATTGAATAGCAATATTCATAGGAACAGGATGCGCTCACATATCGGAGGAAGGCCTCCGACGCGTACAGATGGAAAGCGAGGTTTAGGAGACTCTCGTACGACATCGAGTCTATTGCCATTCTTGGCTCGGGGATATTGTTCGAAAAAGAAAAAAAAATTCAACGCAGTCAGAACGTTGGGGCAGAAGAAATGGGGCTCACTGACTTTATTGACAGGGGCGTGCCTCGACCGACCGCGCTTGGGCAAACCTGACTGCGACACGCTTACGGGCCGGAGGAAGATGTCGATTCAGCGTCTGCTACTGGCGCTCATTGACAGATATCCAATCGCAGTGATAATAATAGCCCGGAGGCTTTAGCGTTGACAGAGAATGAAGCGGTCAAGCTCCGGCGTACTCGTGAAGGCTGCTTTCAATTTTGTAACGGGTTGCGGAAACTAATAGACTTGAGAAGTCACGTTCCCCTTTGTAGTTTCCTTCCCGGTTGTAGTGCCTCGACCTAAGCTCGATCTCGTTTCAGCTTTCAGCACTAGATGGTCACAATGTTTCAGCGAGTACTGTCCACTTCCACAAGGTAGCGGAACTTGGTTAAACCCTTTCACCTGGCATTCAACGCGAAGTACTGACGCGGTGCCTTCCAGACTTGAGGCTGAGACTCTGGACTCTGTTGTTCCGTCAATTTGATTATATTGCCGAAGAAATGTGGAATATTTACTGCTCCCGAATTATACAAGCCGTTCCTGCAGGTTCCTGCCCCTCTCAAATGTCAATTACGCCAAGAACGCGTTCCGGTCCGATGTCTCTCTAATGAAGACGCGGCGTACTTATCATGCACATGTACTTAGGATAGTTGTGGCCGCTAAGTCATTGCTATAAAGTGTTAGGATAAGAACAAATATAGTAGGGTTGCCATTGCGACCTCGATGATCTCTGGGAGATACTGCGTAGAAAGAATGAAAAGCAATGCTCCTATGTTGATGCTCACTGAAACACCTCAAGCTCCCAATGCCGGGTTCAGCGTCGAGTTCTAGTCTTAGAAGGTGATGCCGTAGAGCCGATTACGACGGCCGATTACAGCTGTCGTCTGGATCAGAGCGTAGTGGTAACATCAGCATGACAGCCTGCCTTGCACGCCTAGGACATATGTACATCGTAATAAGAGGAAAGACATCCTGTCTATGTTAACTGCGCATCAAAGAAAAAGCATCTCCAGGCCAGACGTGCGGCGAAGATCTAGCAATGGCATCGGAATCTGTTGTGCAGCATCGGCAAAGCACAGTAGCGCAAGGCGAAAGAGCAACAGCAGGCAGACGTACAACTGTTGTCTGAACATAAATGACGCGCCATCAGCATCGGGGTTTGAGAGTTTCTAGGGTTCCCTGCCCAAAACAGTTAGTACTTGTGGATAAAGGAAACCCATGTCAGACCGGAGTTGTCGAAACGTCTCCATTGTGACGAGGAATGAAGCTTGAAGAGACGCACCGATTTTAAGTTGATCATAGGAGAATCATGAGAGGCAGTACCAGTAGGCCGCATGTTATGGTGAGAAATTGCCATCGTTCGGAAGCACATAATGGAAGCAGACTTCTCGAAGAACAGGTGATATTGAAGCGAGTCGCAGCGTACGACCTCGCTTTGTGATTTCGACGCGTTCTTCTTTGTAGAATAAAGATTCTTGTAGGGATCTGTTGGTCCCCTTGTGGCCCCCTGAGGTGAGAGAGCGCTGATAAGAGGGATAGCTGGCTGGCAACCAATTAGATCCCGGCTACAGACCGGTCATCTTGGATGGTTACGAGAGAACGGACGGCCGCTTCAAGGTACCGAAGACCGACAAGACCTTGCACGATTTCTTCAATAGACGGCGTTCCCTGAGCGGATCAAGAACAGAACTAGCAGCCACCGTACAGTGAGGTAATCCAGTCGAATGAGACAAAGAGGAAGACCAGAAAGAAAGAGAATCTCAAGTCCCAGTAATACTAACAGGATACGCGTACTATGTTAAGCCGGCCAAGACTGGGTGGCGAGACTGGACGGAGGAACTAGTACTCGAGGAAATACGGAAAAATAAACAAGTTCGGGGAAAAGCGTGACGTTG